CCCAGGCCCTGGGCGGCCGAGGTGGCCCGACCCCTGGAGGATCACTGGACTGAGGATGCCGGGCGGCGTCCTGCTGAGCTGGGGTGGCCCCTGCGCCCACGGGAGCCACACCACCTCTGCTCCTCGTTAGAGACCCGCCTTCTCTCCAGGCACCTGGGCAGGGACCTGCCCACTCCTTCGACCAGAACAAACCAACCACAAAACCCAAACCAACACCAAACCTGTTATTCCAACGCACGGTGGCCACACCGTGTCACCAGTCCCCGACACGGGTGCACTCCCTGTGGGGCTGGTCAGAGTCCGCCTCAGGGTGGACTCCGCGTGGCTGCTCCACACCCACTGCTCCTGCTGGTCCCCGCTCTGCCCTGAGGGCAGCAGCAAGTCCGCGTCCTGGGCTGCTGGGGGTGGGGGTGCGCTGCTGGGGTGGGTGCGCTGACTGCGGGACGACGATGTTGCTCCACCTGGGACGCTTGGAGCAGTGGGAGAAGCAAGCTCTCAATCAACAGTCATTATTAATACTTATTATTAATATAGGAATATTGCATTAATTCTGGAGTGACTGGCTTTTGCCCAGCACTGACACAAGCAGTGGCAGTGCCCGTGGGGGACAGGGCCGGGAGCGGGCTGCGGGCGCCTACTGCATCTGGTGCCTGGAGGGCGGTGAACGCTGGGCACCCACAGCGCACAGGGCCCCCCAGAGAGAGCGACCCAGCCCAGGTGTCAGAGATGCTGTTGTAGACTGAGGGGAAAGTAATCGTGTCTGCGAGTAGGATGCTGTGCATGTGAGTGTGTGCATGTACATGTGAATGTATGTGTCAGTGAGTCTATGTGAGTGTGCACAAGTGTGCATGCATGAACGGTGTGCGTGTGTGTGTGTGCGCACGCGCGCGTGTGTGTGTGTGTGCGCGCGTGTGTGTGTGCGTGCGTGTGAGCACAGAGCAGGCAGGCGTGGGCCTGTGCAGGATGCTCTGTGTAGGGGCACTAATGGGAGGTGCGTTTGCCAAAATAACTTGGGGCCTGGGGTTGCAGGCGTTACGTCATGTTTAAGGGGTTGGACCCAGGCCCACGGGAAATGGAAGCTCTGAGAAGTAGTGGTCTGGCAGCTCCTTCCGTCCAGTAGAGAGCGAACCTGGCATTTAGATGGAAAGGGGTTTCCGGGAGGGGCTGTGGCAGGGACTGCGGGAGCCCCCTGGGGACCGAGCTGCTCAGGAGCTGAGGGGGGCAGATCCTCTCGTATGGTCTGAAGTGCTGCTACCCCGGGGCCTGCTCTTATGATCAGAAACGGTCGCCCAGGATTCTGATTTCCTGGGGCCAAGCCTTTGCCGTGGGTCATCGGCTCAGTCTGTGGCCGGAGGAGGAGGTGTGCTCAGACGGGCCAGGGGACCCAGAGAGGCACTTTCACATGTGTGGGCGCAGACACGTGGGCATCGTCAGCCTGGGCCTCGGGGTCTCTTTTACAAAAGCCAGGGGGGATGGTGATGCAGACCAGAGTTTGAGGGTTGTGAGCTAGAGGTGAGTCGGGTTCGGGCCCATGATCCATGCTCCTCGCTGTGCTTGCACCACCGCGTGGAAGCCAGCAGAGATGGGCACAGCACAGCTTCGTCATTTGTTCAGAATCTAGACCCCGGCCCCATTTCCGGGCAGCCTGGTGCGTGTTGACCAGGCCCTGCTGGGGGCGCCAGTGCTGGGGATGTGGAGAACCCCAGGGGGACATTCTGCACCCCGGAGGCCCGGGCTTCAGAGGCTTCCTGTGTGATGTGGGGTGGCGCCTGGTCTGTTCTGGACTTTGGACCCCCTGTCTGTGCCGGGGGTGGGGGCAGAACTCAGAGTGACGGCTGCTCTGGAGCTTGTGGTTTGCAGACGGGAGCCAGGCCCTCGGCACCAGCGCCAGGGGATTCTGGGTGGAGAAGGGGGTGCGGCTCAGCTGTCCCCCGTTGGGTGCATGCTGATCTTGTCTCTCTGAGGCGCCTCTGCTCGGGGGTTCGGGTTTATTTCGTGGACGCCCTGCTTTCCAGCCGAGTTCTGTTCACGCCAGACTCGCCGAATGAATAACCAGACGGGAACAGGCTTCTCGCAGGTCGGTGGCTGGAAAGTCTTGTGCAGTAAAACCTCGGGGAACGGACTAGTTCGGGCGAGGGCGTGGCCATTAGAGCAGAAAGTCCGTTACATAATAAAGCAGGTTTTCTGAATGTATATGTTAAAAAAATTGACAAATTAATTGGTTTAATGTTTTTACTTATGTAGACACATTTGTGTAATTAAAATTATGTAGGGAAAGTTTAATTGCACAGAAGAGTTTTCTACATGTGCTACTGAGATTTTAAATTTATAGCGAATAGGCCTAGGAAATGTGAGCGTCAGGGCCCATAAACCCGTGGTCAGCAAACTGCGGCTCGTGAGCCACATGCGGCTCTTTGGCCCCTTGAGTGTGGCTCTCCCTAAGCCTTAGGAGCACCCTAATTAAGCTAATAACAATGTACCTACCTATATAGTTTAAGTTTAAAAAATTTGGCTCTCAAAAGAAATTTCAATCGTTGTACTGTTGATATTTGGCTCTGTTGACTAACGAGTTTGCCGACCACTGCCATAAACAAATGCACAGGTTGGGGGGCGGGGCAGGGGCAGCACCTGCTAACCCGCTGAGAGTCAGGAGACAGCAGGGCTGCAGGTGACGCAAGGCGGCCGCGTGCTAGTCGGTCCTGAACACTGTTTGCCCGTGGTGGCTCTTGGATTTAAATATGTAGACTATAGTTGTAGATAAGTAATATTTACTTTTGTTGGCAAAATTGCCACAGAGCTTTTTCCAACATATGGCCTAGTTGCTAAAATTTGTTAAAAATAACAGTGTGCTGCCCTAGCCAGCTGGCTTAGAGGTTAGAGCAGGGGTCCTCAAACTTTTTAAACAGGGGGCCAGTTCACTGTCCCTCAGACTGTTGGAGGGCCGGACTATAGTTTAAAAAAAAAACTATGAACAAATTCCTATGCACACTGCGCATATCTTATTTTGAAGTAAAAAAACAAAACGGGAACAAATACAATATTTGTATTTGCATGTGGCCCGCGGGCCGTAGTTTGAGGACCCCTGGGTTAGAGCGTCCGCTGGCCCTCGGACTGAAGGGTCCGGGGTTGGATTCCGTCAAGGGCACGTATCTCGGTTGCAGGCTCGATCCCTGGCGCCCGCCTGGGCGTGTGAGGGAGGCAACTGATGGATGTGTCTCTTTCATATCGATGCTTCTCTCTCTGTCTCTCCCCCTCCCTGCCACGCTCCCTAAAAATCAAAGAAAAAATATCCCGGGGCGAGTATAACAAACAAACAAAAGCATGACCTTTGCTCTGAGACACCCTAATCCAGTGATGGCGAACCTTTTGAGCTCAGCGTGTCAGCATTTTGAAAAACCCTAACTTAACTCTGGTGCCGTGTCACATATAGAAATTTTTTGATATTTGCAACCATAGTAAAACAAAGACTTATATTTTTGATATTTATTTTATATATTTAAATGCCATTTAACAAAGAAAAATCAACCAAAAAAATGAGTTCGCGTGTCACCTCTGACACGCGTGTCATAGGTTCGCCATCACTGCCCTAATCTATTCACAAGTTTTAACAAAGGGCTTGATGAGGAAAAAAAGTGTACCTTTCAACTCTGAAAACACCTCACTTAAAAAATAACAAATAACAGTGAATTAATAACAAAAATCTAACCTGTTAATTATAAGCAAATCGTGGTTAAAAGCATTTTAAAATTAACAGGATGTTAATGTTCACATATGATGCACAGACTGGAAATTTTGACCATTAAATCTGGTTTGTTAAATTGAGGTCCGCAAAACCGAGGGTTTACTGTGGCAACGTTGCGGCCTCACCAGAGCTCTCCTCTGTGGGGCACCCGCGGTGGGACTGGCCCGCCGTCTACGGTCACCACGGGGCTGCCTTTTTTTTCACCCTCTCCACGGACGCGCCGGAGGATAAGCGAGGGAAGAGCATTCCGAGTGGTAAAATGGGGTTTTATTCCAGGATGAGCACACGCCCTGCCAGTTCTCCCTCCCTCCCACAGACCCACGGAGCCGGCGGGAGTGTGACCACGTCGTGCCCCGGTGGTTTGAAGCCAGCACCTCCATCCTTCCCACAAACCAGGACGTGGCACCTTACACCCTTTGCTGGAGATCTTCCGGCGGAGCA